AACAGCTTGAAGCTGAACAGCCAACTGGTGCATACAGAATAAAAATGGAGCTTTGCCAAATTGATAATGGAATGGAAAAGAAGCCCAGAAAAACGAGATTCGCTTTGAATGTTACGAGGGATTTACTCAGTGCTCATGTCAAGTCAATTACTTTGCATTCTCCTTCTCACTACCCATTCCTCCTCTTCAATGACCATATGGTCCCCTTTTATCCATTTCACCCATTCCACAAATCCCTTGCTTAATTGTTGGTAATAGTCTCTTCCATTTTCCTCTTCCTCCAAAGATCACAATCATTACGAATTCTTTGAGGTTATTGCTAGTGAATCAAATCAATTGACTAGCTATACAACAACTTTTCTGTTCTAGAGATTGAGTAAATGAACTAAATGTAATTTTCCTGAGGCAGGTTCTGGCTTTGAACTGAACCTGGGTCTCAAAGAATCTCAAAGAATTCGTAATGATTGTGGTCTGGACCTGGATCTGGAAAGGCTTTAGCTTGATCTAGCCTCGATCGGCTTTAACTTGATCTAGCCTAAATTTTGAAGGAAACAGATTTAAAGCCAAGAACAGTTAGAATATAGTACAAATCAATGAAAAGACTAAAGAAAAATTAGCCGTTCCGGCGAGCGGGCTTTTTGATGGAGATTTTGGGGAGAGATTTGATGATGGATGGTGATGATGGTGATGATGATTTGACATGCTTTTGATGGAGAACAGGGAAAAGAACGGAAAGGAAAGCTGAAAAAGGCTTTTCGGTTCTCTTTTATCTCATCAAAATCTCAAAAAAAACAAGACAAGAACACTCGAAAATCTACCTTTTTTTTTTGTCTTTGAGAGCTTTCTTCGAAGTGCATTGGTTTTTGCTCAACTTTTTGGAACAAAGAGCTCTTAACTATTTAGCTTAGTCCTTGATGTACTTTGTACTGATTGTACTGTGATGTACTGATCTTTTATGTACTTTTCTGAAGCCCGAAATTCTTCAGTAAGTGGTACTGGTGGGGGAAAGTCTGACAGATTTGAATTGAATACACAAATGGGTAGATTGGATGTGATGTACTGATCTTTTATGTACATTTCTAAAGCCCGAAATTCTTCAGATATTAAGATATCTGCTAGATTTTTGTATAATCTTTTAAAATCTTGCTATTCGAATTAGGCTATTCGAATGACCTATTGGGCTATTCGAATGACCTATTGGGGCTATTCGAATGACCTATTGGGGCTATTCGAATGACCTATTGGGCTATTCGAATGAAAAAACGCAAACAGATCTGTAGGTGAAAATGTGTTGATGAAAATGAATGAAAATGATTGACAAGGAAAATTATAGAAAATAGGCGAAGCAAAGGAGTGACCCCGAAGTGCTAGTATGCAAATAGGATTTGATTGGAGTGAAGAGAGGGTGAAGAGAGGGTGAAGAGAGAGGAAGTGTGGGACGGGCTTTGAATTGACTGACTTGACCTTCTCTTTCATCCACTCTTCAATAGAGTAAGAATAGAGTAAGTGCGGAATCTGGCATTGTGAACCTATTAGGCATATATTAGTCATTTTTACGGAATACATTGTTTTCTTGTTTGAAGTGGATAGCTTACGGGCGGGAATTTGCGATCAAAAGAAATCACAGAACAAATCAAAAGAACTATTAGGTTGATGGGGAGGAAACGTGGCTAAAAATGAATAAATGATTTCTTCAATATTTTACATGCAATATTTTACATTCAATTCTAAATACCGTATTTTCTCTAATAGTAGTGCATCCTAATCTTCGTCTAAATTCCTCAAAATCGGAAAATGGTCGGAAAATGTAGCTGATGATGAGATCTTGTGGGGGATTTGAGTGTTGAGCTTCTGGGAAGACTTGGAAACTGTAAAATAGTCATCAACTCGGCTTAGGCTTAGGCTTAGGCTCAGGGATGCACTACTATTAGAGAAAATACGGTATTTAAATACCCGTAAAATTTTAAAGTGATCTTGTGATCTTGCCTTATCGTGCCAGCGTGATTGAACCCTCGACCTTCCGCTTAAGAGACAAGGCTCCTTAACCAATCGGCCAGCTGACCAAGTACCGTATTTTCTCTAATAGTAGTTCACCCTATGCTTCGTCTAAGTTGCTCAAAATCTCGAGAACCGCTTATTAGAACCTATCGATGTGGGGTCGGAAAATGTAGCTGACGATCAGATCTTGTGGCTGATTAGAGTGTCGAGCTTCTGTGAAAGCTTTGAAACTGTAAAATAGTCATCAAACTCGGCTCGACGGCTTACTGGTGGCCGCACTGAACAGATCTATCAAGGCACATAGTACAGTACAATTCAATCTATTCCTTACAGTAAATTTGACCGTTAGATTTGACCAAATTATAGTATTCTCTCTAATCGTAGTGCACCTAAAGCTTTGCCTAAATTCTTTGAAATCTCGAGAACCGCTTATCAGAACCTATCGATGTGGGGTCGAAAAATGTAGCTGACGATGAGATCTTGTGGGGGATAAGAGTTTTGAGCTTCTGGGAAAAATTGGAAACTGTAAAATAGTCATCAACTCGGCTGGGTGCATTACTATTAGAGAAAATACGATATTCTCTATTATGTTGAATGATTTGAGCATATTTTATTGGCAAAAATCGAATCCCTTTCGCGTAGAGAATTTTTGGTTTTTAAGCGAACTAATTCGTGAGCTACTTTTTGAAATCATCTTGAAATCAAAGCTTTGATAAATGCTCATTGATCGGAATAAGTAGTAATAAGTAGCTTGAAAAGGTGCAAGATTAGGGCTATGCGATGGGTGGCCTTTCATCTAAATAAGTTTAGTTTAGCACGAGTCAAACATGCGGTCTAGCATGATCATGTTGAAGGATCATTTTTCTATTTTCTCTTTTGAGTCTTTTCTTTGGTAAACCTCTTTGGCACGACACTTTATACCCACCAACCGAATAGTTAAGGCATGTTGATGACGGCTCTCTATGGACAATTCTATATCTAAAGCTAATCTGTCCAAGGTGTCAACTCCATTCATTCAATATGTGCGAGTGGGATTCTCATAAATCGACTAATCTCTTTCAAGGATGAGATGAGTGGGAAAGGAAAAGACTGAGCAAAGGGGAGGGTAATCGAATTCTAATTTTATCCATTTCGATGCCCATTTTGAGTACTTTTACGAAGAAATGATAAAGCTAAGAGAAATTCAGAGGATTCTTGAAACATGGTGACAACAAGAATGGCAAGAAGAACAAGGCAACAAGAACAAGGCAACAAGAACTAGGCAACAAGAACAATGCAACAAGAACAATGCAACAAGAACAAGGCAACAAGAACTAGGCAACAAGAACAATGCAACAAGAACAATGCAACAAGAACAAGGCAACAAGAACTAGGCAACAAGAACAATGCAACAAGAACAATGCAACAAGAACAAGGCAACAAGAACTAGGCAACAAGAACAATGCAACAAGAACAATGCAACAAGAACAAGGCAACAAGAACTAGGCAACAAGAACTAGGCAACAAGAACAATGCAACAAGAACAATGCAACAAGAACAAGGCAACAAGAACTAGGCAACAAGAACAATGCAACAAGAACAATGCAACAAGAACAAGGCAACAAGAACTAGGCAACAAGAACAATGCAACAAGAACAAGGCAACAAGAACTAGGCAACAAGAACAATGCAACAAGAACAAGGCAACAAGAACTAGGCAACAAGAACAATGCAACAAGAACAATGCAACAAGAACAAGGCAACAAGAACTAGGCAACAAGAACTAGGCAACAAGAACAAGGCAACAAGAACTAGGCAACAAGAACAAGGCAACAAGAACAAGGCAACAAGAACAAGGCAACAAGAACAAGGCAACAAGAACAAGGCAACAAGAACTAGGCAACAAGAACAATGCAACAAGAACAATGCAACAAGAACAAGGCAACAAGAACTAGGCAACAAGAACAATGCAACAAGAACAAGGCAACAAGAACTAGGCAACAAGAACAATGCAACAAGAACAAGGCAACAAGAACTAGGCAACAAGAACTAGGCAACAAGAACAAGGCAACAAGAACTAGGCAACAAGAACAAGGCAACAAGAACAAGGCAACAAGAACAAGGCAACAAGAACAAGGCAACAAGAACAAGGCAACAAGAACTAGGCAACAAGAACAATGCAACAAGAACAATGCAACAAGAACAAGGCAACAAGAACTAGGCAACAAGAACTAGGCAACAAGAACAAGGCAACAAGAACTAGGCAACAAGAACAAGGCAACAAGAACAAGGCAACAAGAACAAGGCAACAAGAACAAGGCAACAAGAACTAGGCAACAAGAACAAGAACAAGAAATCCTCTAGCAACAAATAATCTGATCGTTTGAAGGAAACAAGATCAGAAAGATCAGAAAAATCATGTCGTTTTATCTGATTCAATTTCCACAAAAACTTAATGCTATCCCGATATTGACTCGCTTTTAAATTCGATTCTTTTCGCTGAAAAAAAGACAAGAAATTGATGAAATTATAGAAGAAATGAGAAGAAATAAGAAGAAATAAGGAAGAAATAAGAAGAAATAAAAGTAGTATAAATGATTATATTGAAGTAAAACCATCTAAAATCTAAGAAAAGTATCATAAGAATGACTAGACAAAAGAAAGATGACTAGGGCTTTGGTAAAGGAATAGGAAAAAGAGGCTGGGGACTAGGAGAGGAGACACTCTGCTCTGCCCAATTGGGAATCTCTCCCTAGATATGTGAGAAATTTGAGAGATTTCAGAGAAAACCGCACTTTTTTCTGTCCTCTATTCTCTCTTCTATACGACCTTTTTGGCTATGTGAGAATGGCGGGGAAAAGGAGTCCATCGACGTCCATGCCAATGCCTCTTTTCCAGTTCTCTTTCAAAACTACACACCAAAACTCATCCCGTTTCTTTACTGTAAACGATTTACATTCGATTTCAGAGATATCAGTGATGGAATTTACCTGGAATTTACCTGGAACTTATTGTGAACTTGAAATGTTGAAGCCATCAAGACTTTCAAGAGGACTCCGTTTTGCGTCACAGGTTTGCAATGATCATTTTGATCGATGATCGTAATGATTGCTTCTAAAAGAGATCTATTTTAAAAGTAATCTTTTGTGAGGATAAACGATTCTAAGTTATTTGCCTTTTAGAAAGCATTAGCTAGAGAAACGAAGAGAAATAAATGTGAAGATGATTACAGACTCCACCAAGGGATACCCGCTATGCTCGAATAAACGATGCGGATCTCAAGAATTTCGAGAAAATTCTCGGAAAATCTTATGTGAAAACAGAAGAGATCGATTCGTTCAATAAAGATTGGACAAAATGGTATTCAGGTTATTTTTAAGCAAAGATTTTTAACAATCGTACAATCTAGGAAATGGTGCTTGCGTTTTATTGCCGTCAACATCTGAAGAGATTTCCGCTATTCTTCGACACTGCCACGAGAGAAGAATAGCCGTTGTTCCGCAGGTATTTTTGGTGGATTTTGGAGTACTGTAGCTGTAGAAAGATTTCTAAAAGACATTTTCATAAATAAACTACTGTAATCAATATTCAGGCTGGTAACACAGGACTCGTCGGTGGCGGGATCCCCGTACACGACGAGGTGATTCTTTCGGTGAGGAGAATGAATCGCGAATTCGATTTTGATCCGGATACAGGTATGAGTACATATTTGTACTATCTAATATCTATATTCTATAGTACATACCGTAAATACTGTAATAGTACCCCATCCCCCGTCGTACAGTCGCGTAGTCGCAAAAGCTTTTAGTATTTCATTTTTTTCAAAGCACCCGTACTTTCAAAAAATTCGTCTTTGGTATCAAAAAAAAGCCTGAAATTCAGGGCTATTTTTTGATACCTAAACGAACATTGTAGCATAAACCAGTGTCGAGAAAAACTCGTTCAAAGCTAGACTACGCAACAGTCTGCACCGTCATTATGGGCGGTGGGGTACTATTACAGTATTTACGGTATATATATCTATGCTTTACTACCGTAAATACTGTAATAGTACCCCACCGCCCTAATGACGGTGCGGAGTGTTGCGTAGTCTAGCTTTGAACGAGTTTTTCTGACACTGGTTTATGCTACAATCGTTTAGGTATCAAAAAATAGCTGAAATTCAGGGCTATTTTTTGATACCTAAGCGCGCATTGTAGCTTAAACCAGTGTCGAGAAAAACGCGTTCAAAGCTAGACTACGCAACACTCCGCGTCGTCATTATGGGCGGTGGGGTACTATTACAGTATTTACGGTATTTGTACTATCTAATATCTATATTCTATAGTACATATTTGTACTATATAATATCTATATTCTAATCTATCCAGGAGTCCTATCCTGTGATGTTGGCCACGTGCTGGAAGAATTAGAAGGAAAAGTCGGCGAATTCGGCTACATGATGCCCTTCGATTTGGGAGCAAAGGTTTAAAAAAAAACTATATTCATTAGATATTTTCGTATATCTAAATAGTTTTTGATCTTTAATTTCCAGGGATCTTGTCTGATTGGAGGAAATCTGTCGACGTGTGCAGGTGGAATTCGCCTCTTGAGATACGGAAGTCTTCACTCACATCTACTTGGGCTACGCGTGGTTTGTTGTTTAGTGTACTTTATGAAAAGTACTGTATTGTATTACTGCATTTTATAGTAATAAAATGCTTATTTTCCTTAGTGCTTATTTCTATTGTAAGCTTTTGGTAAAAAACAAAAATTTCGGTGGAGGCGGACTCGAACCCTCGACCTCTCACCTCTAGCAGTTGGTGCGCGCTAACCACTCGGCCACTGGACACGTCAAATTAGAACATAAATTTTTAACTTTAACCAGCGCTTAGCAAAAGGATTGAAAATCGGCGCTTTTTTCCATTGTTCAATCATTTTTCAATCACTGGTTAAAGTTAAAAATAAATGTCATCTCCCACGCCATGTCATGGCCGAATGGTTAGCGCGCTCGAACCGAGTGCTAGGGTTCAAGGGTTCGAATCCACCTTCGGCCAAACGTTTTGCTTTTTTAACCAAAAGCTCACACATAATAGAAATAACCTTTTTAAGCAAAAAAATATGTTCAAAAAATCACCCATTCTCTCTACTCTAATTTGACATATAAACTTGCAGAAACAAACGTACTGGTGTCAAGATATGAGCGTTTGTTTGAGAGTAAACTTAAACACGACGCTCCTATAGCCGTTTTACATTTACGTTTACGATATACTGTAATACTAGCATGAACCTTTCTCTTTAGGTTCTCCCCGACGCTAAGGGATCACTCGTGGAGTTTGGGAGTGAACTGAGAAAAGACAACACATCACTACATGCTCATCATTTGTTTTTAGGGTAAAGTAAAAGCTCTTTGACAGTTTGAGTTGAAAGCATTTCTATATGCGGGAATATTTTTCAAACTTTAGACCTTCTAGTGGACTCTAGTGATCTACTTTAGACATTCTAGTGGTCTCTAGTGATCTACTTTAGCCATTTCTAGTTCCGAGGGGCAACTCGGTGTGATCACCGGAGTGAAGATGACGTGTGTGACGAAACCGATCAGTGTTCAAAGTGCGATGCTTGGTAGGCAGTTAATCCTTCAATAAGAAGCCTAAATCTTCTAATATTCGTCTCACCATTATCTATTATCGTTTTTTTTTCAGGAGTTAACACTTTTGATGAATGCCGAAAAATTCTGCGCATTGCCAAGACGAAACTCGGCGAGATTCTTTCGTCTTTCGAGCTGATGGACAGGGAAACGATTGGGGTGCTTGAAGTGGGTTTGAATTGAATGAAACTTTAAAATAAAGCAGTTAATTCTTCGATAAAAAGCCTAAATCTTCTAATATTTTATTGAAATTTGAATAAAACTTTAAAATAAAAGAGCTCAAAGGATTTCTAGGACAATCTGCAATTCTCGAATGTGATCAAGACGAATCCGCGCTTCAACATCCTTGTTGAGACCTCGGGTGAGTAATATAACCGTAATAATATACTGTAGTGCTGTAATACTCTAATAACTATAATACTATATTAAAAGCCTTGAATCTGCAATCATTTTTAGGCACAAATATCGATCACGATCGGGAGAAAGTCGACAATTTTTTGGAGTATTGTTTAAGTGAAAGATTGGCGAATGATGGGGTTCAGGTAAAAGGATATTTACCGTATTCTCTCTAATAATAGTGCACTCTTTAATAGTAGTGCACTCTCTGATAGTATTGCGGTCCAGGAGGGGGTTCAAAAAATAGTAGTGCGCACTACTATTAGAGAGAATACGGTATTCGACACGAATAATCAATTACAACAAAACGGAGGAAATTTTGACTTTTAGTTATCCCTATTACCCAAATGTCGTTAAGAAAAAACTCATAATGATAAGAAAAAGAACCAATCTTTCTGGCCACCGGGATCGAACCTTTGTCTTCTAGTCGAACCTTACAGACTAGAAGACAAGACTCCTATCCGGTCGGTTCGGAGCTACAGCTACAGCTCGGAGCTACAGCTTTTGACGATATTCTAGAAAAAGTTTATATTAAAGTTTATATCAAAGTTTAGAAAGGAGTAGATTTTAATTACCGTATTTTCTGTAATAGTAGTGTAGTCTGTAATAGTCGGGCAGGCAGGAGGGGGGTTGAAAAAATAGTAGGAGACAAGACAAGACAAGACAAGACGAGACAAGGCAAGACAAGACGAGACGAGACAAGACAAGACGAGACAAGACAAGACTCCTGGTCCGGTCGGCTACGACGGCTATTGGTACAATGTAAAATGGTTTAAGAAAAAAAACGATCACTAACTTTTACTAAGAACTTTAGTGAAAGAATTGTATAAAAGTATAGAAATGATTGAATCTTAGGCGAAATCCGCTGAAGAACATCGTCTGATGTGGCGTCTTCGTGAATCAGCCACTATCGCGCTTACATTAGATGGAATCGTTTTCAAAAACGATTTCTCACTGCCATTACATTCATTTTATCAACTCACTGAAGGTTTTTAAATGAAAATATCGTTGAAATTTGAAATTCTTCTTGTTTTAAGAGGTTCGTGCTCGAGTTGGTGGAGCGGCGAAACGAGTTGTTTGCTATGGGCATATGGGCGATGGGAACAGTCATCTCAATGTCACATCAACAAAAGAAAATGCTGATAGAGTGTATAAAATGTAGGTTTTTAAGAGGTAAATCTGAAAAAAATAGGGAAGAAGAAGAGATTTTTAAAGATTTTAAAATTTAAACCCTCACAATGAAAGAAAATGACATGTGTCATAGAGCATTCCACGTAGAATTTCACGCTCAATCCGAATATTTATTTCTTTTCTTAAAAATAACACTCTATCAAAAGTTATGAGCTCTAACTTTTATAAAAATAAGAATAGTGTTTTAAAAGAAATTTTTCAATTTTTAAAGATGAGCGACATCATAGTCGAGTTTACTGATAGGGCCGATAAGGGGGTTGTGGCTAAGTGGTAGTGAGCTAGGATACAAAGCAGAGGGTCTCTGGTTCGACTCCACTTGGAGAAATTTTTTCACTTTTTTTTCTATTCAGGTTGTATCCTTTCGTCTACGAGTGGGTTGTAAAACACGGGGGATCGATTTCAGCCGAGCACGGAATTGGTGAATTATATGAATCAACAATAGTTGTGAATTATATAAATCAACAATAGAATCAACAACAACAATAGTTTCAATTTTGTAAAGCTCATTAGTTGAATCTGGCTGAATTATAGTAAATTGTACTTTAAAATTAAAAAAAAACCCTCCAGGTCAACTAAAACGTCCATATGTGAATTTGGGGAAATCGACGGAAGAACGAAATCTCATTCGATCACTCAAAACCCTTTTCGATCCAAGGGAAATCCTCAATCCATACAAATTTCTATAAATTCTTATTATTGAATTTTTATTCATTGTTGAAATTCATAAAATTCCAATCAGAAACCTAAAATTTCAAAAATCTACAAATTTTATTTAAACCTTCATCGTCATCTTCCCTTCACCACCAAAAAAGCTATTTAGTTCCCCATTGAGCTTAGGGTTAGGGAGCCGTCTGTCATGACGTGGGTTAAGTTAAGATATAGCCTAGTATTGTGTGTGTCGTTGTATTGTGATTGATATATTTCGTGTATGCGATAAATTCACCACTGGTAGCCCCAGTCGGTATTTTTTTAAAAAAAAAACACTTAGCCAAAAACAGCAGCGCCTCTAACTAAGAAATGCTTTTTAACTTATTATAAGTTTCTGCACGGACGAAAGAAAGACAAAGACAGACAAAGTTTCCGAATGAAGGAATGAAAGCAAATGAAAAGAATGGCAAAAGGAGAATTTTGTGCGGGGTACGGTACGTATCCACGCTTTAGAAAGCCCGGCGCGCCGCTTTTTTCGCGCCCGTTCCTTAAAATCGCACGTTAATAGGAATCTAATTGAAGAAAAAACATCTTACTAGGGAATGTTGTTAACTTATCGTGGTTTTTTAACTCGGGAAATAGCCTATCTAATGCAGTTTTTCACGCTGATTCCGAATTTGCAATCAGTTTTTGCCAAACGCTTTCCTATCGCGAGATATTTGGCATACAAGTTTTTAGGGTTCCTTTATGAAGGCGACGCACTGTCTCCAGTCAAAGGTTTCGGTGGTGTAGTGGTTAGTGCGTGCGTCTGCCGGGCGTATGGTCTTTTGGACCTGAGGGTTCGAGTCGTCTGTCTATATCAGACAACCTTTCTTTTACTCTTTTCGCCCATTTTATGAACTATGAGCAATATCTCGCGATAGGGAAGCGTTTGGCAAAAACTGATTGCAGATTCGGAATCAGCGTGAAAAACTGCATCAAATAGGCTATTTCCCGAGTCAAAAGCCACGATAAGTTAACAACATTCCCTAGTAAGATGTTTTTCTTCAATGAGATTCCTATTAACGTGCGATTTTAAGGGACTGGCGCGAAAAGAAACAACTGAGTATCTTTAATTTTTATTGGTATCTGTATACGACGCTCAAACGGTGCCTCCGTTATTCTGCCTCATTCTGTAATTTCTATTTTTTTTTTGTTTTCTCAAAAATATTGTGATAAATCGTAGATCACAAATGTTTATTCATAGAAAAAAACAAAGAAAACATGTGAATGAATTACAAAAGTTCAAGAGATTCAATTGAAATCCTGTTTTTCTTTGCTAAACAATGCCCCCAATTCCCCCAATTCATTCACTTTTTTCCCAATCCAATCCCGCCAAGACTGTCGAAATAGTTGAGTGATGAGTCGCGCTTCAAATCGATCAGCTTTTTCGAGGAACGCTTTCCAAGACCCATTCCTGTGGGAAAATGGGAAAATTTAGGAATTGATTAGCTGATACGATTGGCTAGCTAAAAGTGATCAAAAGTTTTTCAAAAGAAACTCTACAAAAGATAGACTGGATTAAAGCCATCAAAGCCATGACTAGAAAGTCTAGCTTGGCTTTATTCCAAGCCACCCAAGAACCCAGCCTTGGTTCACTAATTTAAACTCGATTAAAACATCACTACAAATCATGTAATTGTTAATATAATTCTAAAAATATAAACATGAAGATATGATTAATTTAATAGAATTTAAATTTAATATTGATTTAATATTGATTTAATATTGATTTAATATTGATTTAATAATGATTTAATAATGATTTAATATCATTAATATTTATATTTATTTAATAGACTTTCAAGCACTCACCACCCAAGCTGTCCAACGAGTTGAACGCTTTTTTGTATCGCGAATCATCGATAAGACCGAATCGTGCAATTCTAAAATATCATTCATTTTCAAGATAATAGAATAGTGGTATCTACCGTAAATACTGTAATAGTACGCCACCGCCCTCGTACAGTCGCGTAGTCGCAAAAGTTTTTTAGTATTTCATTTTTTTCAAAGCGCCCGTACTTTCAAAAAATGCGTCTTTGGTATCAAAAAATAGCCCTGAATTTCAGCTATTTTTTGATACCAAAGATAATGACGGCGCGGAGTGTTGCGTAGTCTAGCTTTGAACGCGCTTTTCTCGACACTGGTTTAAGCTACAATGCGCGCTTAGGTATCAAAAAATAGCTGAAATTCAGCGCTATTTTTTGATACTTAAACGAACATTGTAGCATAAACCAGTGTCGAGAAAAACTCGTTCAAAGCTAGACTACGCAGCACTCCGCACCGTCATTATGGGCGGTGGGGTACTACAGTATTTACGGTAGGTACCTTAGCCAGCATTGCAAAGCTCATCCTTCCGTGTTGAAACTAGGGCAGATCAAAAAGTTTTGCGCTGCGGGGACTCGAACCCGCGACTTTTCCCTCACCGAGCAACTGTGCTACCTATTACACCAGATCTAGAGGGAGTTAACTATACTATTTCGTTAAAAATCTCATATAAACGTGTTCTTTTTCTGCTTCATTCACTTGATGATCTTTCTTGATGAAAGAATTTCACTTGATGAAATTCAGGGCTATTTTTTGATACCTAAACGCGCATTATAGCATAAACCAGTGTCGAGAAAAACTCGTTCAAAGCTAGACTACTGTAGGATTTGCGTTAGGCTTATGGTAGGATTACTGCAGGGTATGGACTATGTATACCGTAAATACTGTAATAGTACCCCACCGCCCCCGTAAAGTCGCGTAGTCGCAAAACTTTTTTAGTATTTCATTTTTCGCAAAGCACGTGTGGCTGACTGGTTAAGTGTCTTTTATCTTAATCGGAAGGTCGAGGGTTCGAACCCCACATGCGACATGGTCACCCCCTTCGGATTTCCTTTCCCTTCGGGTTGAGAGGTTTTCTGGAGGGCAGTCTGGTGGTTGTGGCCCCAGTTCTTTAAAGTGACAAGCCACTCCTTCATCGTCATCTTCCCTTCACCACCAAAAAAGCTATTTAGTTCCCCATTGAGCTTAGGGTTAGGGAGCCGTCTGTCATGACGTGGGTTAAGTTAAGATATAGCCTAGTATTGTGTGTGTCGTTGTATTGTGATTGATATATTTCGTGTATGCGATAAATTCACCACTGGTAGCCCCAGTCGGTATTTTAAAAAAAAAAAAAAAAAAAGCGCCCGTAAATATAAATCTACTAATGCAGAGAATCCTTGTTTCTTTTGAGTACACTAAGAGTACATTCGAGGACACTAAAGGGGAAGCGTTTACCGGATTCGACAAGCACAAAGTACGCTGTTTATCTGGATCTATTGGATCAACAATAAATACAAAATATAGCAAGAAAACTTGGATTTTTAACGTTCTAGATATATATATATGTCGTAGCCGTTTACGAAATTCAGCCGCTAACGAATGAGGGTATTTCCGGGCATCCAATCAAAAAGTCATCCACATAAAAAATTTTCATAATACATATATTTTATAATAAATTTTTGAAATTAGCTCATTTGGTTCAGTAGAAAAATTTTTTTGAGCCCCCAAAGTTTAGGTTCAAAAATACCCTAAAATGGCTATAAAAAATTTTCTACTCAGCCAAAAAACTTGCCTAATAGCTCATTTTGTAGCCAATTTGATGTAGTTTCTTAAAGTAAAGCGATCTAAAACAATTTTTCGTTGAAAGTAGGAGAAAGAGGGCGAGGAACAAATTCAGGGCAATTCTCAAATGTGAAAACAGCGACCGAGTTCAAGTGAAGTCGTTCCTCGCCCTCTTTCTCCTAGCTTTGAAAAACAAATGTACAATGTAGCTTTACTTTAAGAAACTACATCAAATTGGCTACAAAATGAGCTATTAGGCAAGTTTTTTGGCTGAGTAGAAAATTTTTTATAGCCATTTTAGGGTATTTTTGAACCTAAACTTTGGGGGCTCAAAAAAATTTTTCTACTGAACCAAATGAGCTAATTTCAAAAATTTATTATAAAATATATGTATTATGAAAATTTTTTATGTGGATGACTTTTTGATTGGATGCCCGGAAATACCCTCATTCGTTAGCGGCTGAATTTCGTAAACGGCTACGACATATATATATATATACCGTAAATACTGTAATAGTACCCCCGTACAGTCGCGTAGTCGTAAAACTTTTTTAGTATTTCATTTTTTTCAAAGCGCCCGTACTTTCAAAAAATGCGTCTTTGGTATCAAAAAATAGCCCTGAATTTCAGCTATTTTTTGATACCAAAGATAAATGACGGCGCGGAGTGTTGCGTAGTCTAGCTTTGAACGCGCTTTTCTCGACACTGGTTTAAGCTACAATGCGCGCTTAGGTATCAAAAAAATACCTGAAATTCAGGGCTATTTTTTGAAAACCTAAACGAAAATTGTAGCCTAAACCAGTGTCGAGAAAAACTCGTTCAATGCTAGACTACGCAACACTCCGCACCGTCATTATGGGCGTTGGGGCACTATTACAGTATTTACGGTATTTATTGTATTCTTATTTTCAGCTCACTTGTACGGGCTTGCTTGGCGTCTCTCCTCTGCCCTCTTCCCGAGTCCCAATCCGCCAAGAGTATCCAAAGAATAGTATCTAAATGTAAAGGTTATAGTCAAAATATTTGGATACACAATTTGAATACAATTTGTATACAAATTGTGCCCTAATTTTCTTTAATCCCTACCTTTTGTAGAGGGTTAATGGCTCAAAAAGTGAGTCACTTCTTTTCATGAAATCATTATCTGCAAAAAACTTTTTATACTTTCTTTCTTTTAAGAAATTGAAATTTTTAACCTCTATCCATCGATGTCATAGCCGATTTTAAAGGAGAATTCTGTAAAATTGACATTATTTTTTCTGATAATCTAATGCTTTAATGCTTTTTTTTTTGTTACCTCATCTTCTAAAGTCAACACCGAAATGACGCCAAAAATGAGGGTAAAGAGCACTGCATTTAGCATACCTGAAAAGCGGGAAATAACGATTGAATTGATATAATTGCTTTTGACAAATTCTAGAAAAGTAATCAAAAAAGAGAAATGACTCAAGTCAAGTAAAACAAAAAGTAAAAAACATGTAAGAAAATCACCGAAAATTGTGCGAAAATTTCGAAAATTGCATCTTATTAAAGGTTTTTAACAATTTTAAAGCCATTCGGAATACTTTAACATTACATTATTTTAGTAGGATCTCTTTGAAAGGAATCAAGTCATAATCAAGAAAAATGTCTTCAAATTTTGCATCAGACAAATGACAAATGCAAACATTTAAAGCAAATATCTCACTAATAAATCCCCAATAAAATGCAACCATTCAAAGCAAAGATCTCACTAAAAGATTCCCAATACTTTTCCCTTTCCAAATTCAATCTCTACCGTAGTCGGAAAGGTAATAAACAAGCTGTGCTTTAGCAGGTGTACTTTGTCCGCTAAACACACCATTTCTGGTAGACTTAAAAATAAAAAGCATAGAAGTAGAAGTTGTCAATAGATCAAAATCTGTAAACAAACTCCTTCCTGGAGCAAAGAAACTCCTTTCCGGAGCAAAGAAACTCCTTTCCGGAGCAAAGAAACTCCTTCCTGGAGCAAAGAAACTCCTTCCTGGAGCAAAGAAACTCCTTTCCGGAGCACTCGATTTCTTCATTTGCATAGTGAGCTTATGCTAGCAAGATTGCATTTTAGAAAGCAAAAAAATGAGTTCAAATTCCTTACAAGTGCATTCTACAACCGATGCATATGGAAATTCTAAGATTTCACTTGAAAATTCGTAAAATCGAATACCTTGGGGACAAAAAAAAAATAATAAATCACTGTTTGAGAAAGGCATTTTTCCGCCCAATGAAATATCCCTTCACATAAAGGATTTTTGAATTTTTTTGGGAAAACCAAAGGGAAATTCTGACCTCACAATGGGTTTTTTGAGATTATGAAACAAGTTGAGACGACGAGTTAATGGCGTTTACCAGAAAAGAGATCACTTTTGTTCGAGGGATTTTACAAAAGAAAAAACTGGGGCCGGACACGAACCCAGGCGTTTAGCTAGCCGGTCGACTGGGAGACGAGGGCGCTACCAGCTGAGCCATGAGAGCAGGCTGAAGGGAGCAGCCGAATGGCGTTGATCAGGGAACAGCCGCGAATTAATGAGGGATTTTACAAAAGAGAAAAAGTGAGGACGGACTCGAACCCAGGCGGTCGACTGAGAGACGCGGACGCTACCAGCTGAGCCATGAGAGCAGATTTGAGAGGGCGCCGAATGGTGTTCATGAGGGGCAGTCGGGAATTAATGAGGACAAAAAGAGATTGATTTGACAAAAGAGAAAACTGGGAGGGGACTCAAACCCAAACCTTTGACTGGGCGGTCGACTGGGAGGCTACCAGCTGAGTCACGAGAGCAGCATGGAAGGGGCAGCTGAATAAAGTTGATGACGGAGATTGGGGGGATTGGGGGGCCAATATACATGTCTCTAACAAACTACAATCTCAAACTACAAACCCTTGTAGAATTGCGTAGAATCGATGTTTTTTTAAACTGTTTTTACCAAAAAAATCGAGTAAACTTTAGGCTTTTGAATGGCACGAAATGGCACGAAAAATCAAGAAAAAAGCCACCATTTGTACCCCGAGAACAAGCCATTTATAGCTCAGCCACATAACTACAAACCTGACAAAGAAAAACACTAAATCTGAATACGGAAAACATTTGATTTGACCTGATTTTGATGTCATTCGAAAGCCTAAAGTTTTCTCGATTTTTTAATAGAAAAACTTTTCAAAAATCTCTCTTCTACGCATTTCTACAAGCTCATGAAAATGGCGCAACAACGCGTTAAAAAAACGAAAACGTTTCTCGCTTGCTCGATCGCCCAAATGGTATGCGTAAACGTGTGGAAACAGGCGTATGGAAACCGGCGTATGGAAACAGGCGTATGAAAGCTGGCGTATGAAAGCTGGCGTATGGGAACAGGCGTATGGGAACAGGCGTATGGGAACTGGCGTATGGAAATCGGCGTATGGAAACCGGCGTATGGAAACAGGCGTATGAAAGCTGGCGTATGGAAACTGGCGTATGGAAACTGGCGTATGGAAGCTGGCGTATGGGAACAGGCGTATGGGAACTGGCGTATGGAAATCGGCGTATGGAAACCGGCGTATGGAAACTGGCGTATGGAAGCTGGCGTATGGAAACCGGCGTATGGAAACAGGCGTATGAAAGCTGGCGTATGAAAGCTGGCGTATGAAAGCTGGCGTATGAAAGCTGGCGTATGAAAGCTGGCGTATGAAAGCTGGCGTATGAAAACTGGCTCATCAAGAACAAAAATCCTCGCCCTATAGTAACCTAAAAGCAACTAGAGTATGAATTTTCGTTATCGGAACAAATGTCATCCTTTTCCCCGAGTTACTCATTGCTAATATACGTTTTTAATCTATCTAATCTATTCCAGAAAAAAAGAATGCAATCAAGAAGCACAGAAGCCCTTGGAAACCAATTTTCTACAAAAGTCACATATTTTTAACCAAAAAATTCTGCTTATATGAAATTTTCGGACTTCCAAAACTAAAATTTGATCAATTTTTTTTGAAATTCTTTGACAAAGAGCCATTTTTTTTTCATTTTTTTGAAAAAAGCTTAAAGAAAATGTTTTTAAGGGGATTTCTGCAAAAGAACAAAATATTTTTTAACTGAGTCTCTAAACTAAAGTGTAAAAATAAAAATTTGAGCTCTTTCGCTGAATATCTTTACGCTAAAGGTAGATTTTCAATCCACAAATCCTTTTGTCCTTCTTGTTTTCTTGGTGAGAAGCTGGGAAGATTTGACTTCGTTACATCATTACATCAAAATGGCTTTCTAGCTTTCTTTTCGCTAACTCATCTACTTGCGTAGTCATGTTTATCACCATTTCAATGAAATAATAATAATAATACTTTATTCAAACGATAAAGTGAAAGAAATCATAGAGAAATGCACAGTGATACTTAATCATACAATACATACTGAAATCAATAAGCCAATTACTTACGGCAAAGAGCCACTAGATCTAAAGCATCGATACGTTTCTTGAATATGAAAAGCGACTGAATTTCTCGTATGTCGTTTGGGAGCAAGTTCCATAATCTAGCGGCTCTAACGGGAAATGAATTTGATAAAGAGGCATTGGAAGCAAAGGGAATTTGCAAAAGGAATGAGCCACTTCTGGGCCCTGACCGCGGTTTAAATTTGAAAAAGTCTATAAACAAAGGGCTAATCTGTTTACTACGGAGGATTTTGAAAGTTTGTGATTTGTGAAATGGTGATAAACAATGACAAGAATTGAATACAGAAAGTAGTGGATCTCTTATCAGAAATCTCTAGTGAATGCACTTTTACTCAACAAATCGATCAACAAATTGAGTACCATGGTACCATGGTTTATAGGGTACTTTGGAGATCTTAGCTCAAAAATCATCATCATCATCATCATCATTCCATCATCATCACATCATTATCTTTACATCAAAATGGCTTTCTAGCTTTCTTTTCGCTAACTCATCTACGCAATTTCAATAAAATGGTGATAAACAATGACAAGAATGGAGTACAGAAAATCTCTAGAATCACTAGAGATCTCTTATCAGAAATCTCTAGTGAATGCACTTTTACTCAACAAAGGGATAAATAATTGAGTCAAGATCCTCAAAGTACCATAGTCTATAGGGTACTTTGGAGATCTTAACTCAAACATCATCATCATCATCATCATCACATCATCATTCCATCAAAATGACTTTCTAGTTGTCTTTTCGTTACTCATCTACTCAATTTCAATGAAATGGTGATAGACAATGAAAAGTGGAGTACAGAAAATAGATCTCTTATCAGAAATCTCTAGTGAATGCACTTTTTGCTCAACAAATGGATCGACAAATAGAGTCAAGCTCCTCAAAGTACCACAGCCAATTTCTGGTGATTTCATTTCTTCATTGAGCCATCAAAAATGAAGATTTGCGTTTTGAGCGCATGAGAAAAAGGCTTTAATTTCTTGCTTTTCTTGTTAAAACTCAAAAGAAAATAAGTGGAGAATTTTGAAATACGGTAAATTTTGAAATGCTTGAATGCTTGAAATCTCATTTTCTTCAAATTTCTCTCGCAAATTTCTCTCGAAAGGAAAAAAATCGAATTGTGAAACACTTTTCGAAATTGAAATCCAGATTTCTGTGATATTATCGAAAATGTCAAAAAATTGCAAGAAAATGAGAATTTTGATTTTAAAATTAAAAGCAATTTTATAGAGACATTTTGAGAGGCTTTAAATTTAGTAGAGGCTTTTAATAGAGGAATTTTAAAACTTCAAAAGAAAAACCTCAAAATGAGAGATTTGTATTGAAAAAAAAGTCTGAAATCGGTAAACCATTTGTGAACTTTTTTTTTTGGTACTCTTTCTGATGAACTTTATACTCTCAAACTTGTAAATATAAATCTACTAATGCAGAGAAACCTTGTTTCTTTTGAGTACACTAAGAGTACATTCGAGGACACTAAAGGGGAAGCGTTTACCGGATTCGACAAGCACAAAGTACGCTGTTTATCTGGATCTATTGGATCAACAATAAATACAAAATATAGCAAGAAAACTTGGATTTTTAACGTTCTAGATATATATATATACCGTAAATACTGTAATAGTACCCCACCGCCCCCGTACAGTCGCGTAGTCGCAAAAGTTTTAGTCGTTTTTTAGTTTTTCATTTTTTTCAAAGCACCCATACTTTCAAAAAATGCGTCTTTGGTATCAAAAAATAGCCCTGAATTTCAGCTATTTTTTGATACCAAAGATAATGACGGTGCGGAGTGTTGCGTAGTCTAGCTTTCAACGAGTTTTTCTCGACACTGGTTTATCCTACAATGTTCGTTTAGGTATCAAAAAAATAGCTGAAATTTAGGGCTATTTTTTGATACCTAAACGAACATTGTAGGATAAACCAGT